AACATAACATTACAGGGTATAATAATTAATGTAGGTGGTAACAGCATGCCGACCCAAGGAGATATCGGACTGGCTTTTTGGAATCAAGAATTGTTTTTTTCCTATCTGTGACGTAACTGGAATTTTTATTTTTTTGCCTCCTTTTGGATCAATTGCAGAAATTGATGTATGGATGGTCGAACTTGAAGGACTTTTTAAAAGCTAGATTAAATGTGTCTTTATATGTAAATGAACACTCAAATAGTTATAACCACTACAGGGTGTTGTAGTGATTATGGCGCCATGAGTGCCCTGACACCCCTCTCTTGTAACCTGAATTGTTTTAGAACGGTTTGACTTCTAACCTCTGGTATGCCAGTTGCTGCTCAATACCTCCTCTCATATGCCTACTTAGGAGCTTTCATTAGCTCTCCTTAGCTAAGTGCTAGCATCATCTGATTGCTTGCAGCCAATGAGCTAAGCCCTGCTCAAGCAGAGAGTTTCTGTTCTCACAGAGACTATAGTGGAGGCAGGGAGCAGTGTGTTTGCAGACCCAGGTAAGAGTCAAACCATTCTAAAAAGGTGTGACTACCTACAATGTTGGGGTGTCAGCGTACTCCTGCTGGGCACAGCATATCATAGTGGTTATGGTGATCAGAGCCTTTCTTTAACATTTTCTCTCTCTCTTTTCTTTTAAACATATTAAAAATGATATAACAATCCAAGCACAGCCAGGGCCACCGTTGTAAATGAGAAGGAGAAATAGGAACGTTATTTTATTTCTCCTCTTTTCTAAATGCTTTGCCGACTACTAGGTACCAAGGGCAGAGCTTATAATAATTGACAGGGAGCCAATATAGAGGAGCACAGTTGCAGGATAAAGAGTTGTGAATTTTGATATCTAATTCTATTTTTCATCCCACGCAATTTTAGATTTGTTAAAGGAAAACTCTCTTAAGCACAAAAAAGAGCTCTAGCTTAATGAAGTGGTTTTAGTTTATAGATAATTCCCCTGCAGTCTAACTGCTTAATTCTCTGCCATTTTGTTTATCTAACACTAGCCATATCTCCCCTGACTGTGACTTATATAGCCTTCTTAGACAGTACCTGGGGGGAAAAAAGGCTCAAATTTCTTTACTTGTTTCCTACTCTGTCGTCTGTCTGAGACTGGAACAGCCTCCTGTGTTTAATTAAAGGTTGAATAGCAGAGCAGGAGACAAAAACTTCTAAAGTAAACACCCTGTGCTATAAAAACGAAAAAAAAATTTTCATGGCAGCTATGTAAGTTAGAGCCAGGGGAGGTGTGGCTAGGGCTGCATTAACAAAGTGAGTTAATTCCTAAATGACAGACAATTGAGTGGTGAGACTGCAGAGGCATAATCTATAGACCAAAAATGCTTCATTAAAGGGACACTATGGTCAACAGAACCATTACAGGTTAATGTAGTGGTTCCAATGTCTATAGAATGTCCCTGCAGGCTCAGCAATGAAAATACTGCCTTTTCAGAGAAAAGGTAGTGTTTATATTGCTGCTTAATAACACTTCTAGGTCCTGTCAATCACACGGCAACTAGAAATGCTTCCTATTTCAGTGCATGCAGAGCATGCAGACGCTGTCCGCTCCTCTTAGGAGTATTTATTCATTACATGTCTATGATGAGAAGTTGATTGGCGCGCATGCTCAATATCCTCCCAAAGCTTTCCTATAGGAAAGCACTGGACTGACTGAGCTCAGCAAGATTGATGATGTCAGCCATGGAGTCCAGGCCAGCCAGGACAAGACCAGTGTGACGATGGAGAAAAGGTATGTAAACTACCTTTTATCTCTAATCTGAGGGAGTCCAGGAACCTTAACTAGTAATCCAGCACTATAGTGTTAGGGATACATGTTTGTGTTCCTTTTAGCTAAATTTGTTTAAAACTTTAATATATCTCCGAGTGAGTTAATTTAACATGGACTCAAAAAATGAACACACAATTTGTACATTTGCTTTATTGCTGTTAATAAGCATTACAGTAAATAACAGTATTCTATCAGTTTTCTCCAAAGGACTTTGTCTTGGCACTACTGAAATAGAATATATATATTTTAGAAGTTGACCAATGCGAACTATTTTAGAGCTGTTATTTCTGTAGAAGGTGCGCAAGTTCCTACTTTGAAAATAAATTCATACGAAAACGTATAGACAAAATCTCTGCCCATTTTGATTTAGAGGCAGTATTATTACACCTTATGCAAGTAGCTGTTTCCAACAGCGTTATCCATCAGTTGTGCTCATGAAAATAAATATCTTTGAATTAAATAAATAAAACACTAGTGTCAAATTTGAAACTCTGATGGCACTGTCTGACATCCTATAAAAAATGTATATCTTCCATGATTTCTCTTTTGGTTGTGAACGAAAATGCAGGCATGGTATTATGGGAATATGAAGCCCCAAGCACTCAACCATGGGGCATGTTGGGAACATGGTGGACACAATCACCAAAAGTTGCAGTTTAGCTGAGTGTATAATTAATCAACTGTACACTTTACCCTGGGAAATGTTTCAAGAGCCGGGTAAGAGTGGACAAATTCCTATTGACAGAACTAATATTTTGTAGTTGTGTATGTGTGGAGATTGCTTAAACATGCATGTGCGGTTGCACTTCACAACCTTCACTTCTTTTACCAAGTGGGGGACTGAAAAGGGTCTTTTCTTCCCCAGTAATCTATTGAGGTTAAAGAAACACTATAGGGTCAGGAACACAAACATGTATTCCTGGCCCAATAGTGCAAAACCCACCATTAAGGTGGCTTGTCGTCCCCCCCTTGCATCCCCTTAAAAGCATGTACAACTCACCTTATTTTCAGAGCCATGCGGGCTTGCCGGCACTGGCCCAGCCCCTTGGTGACATAATCAGAATTGCAGATTTTTTAGCCAATCCAATGCTTTCCCATGAAGACGCTGAACGGCAGTGCTGCCTACTGTGCAGTACTGAGCCAAGAAGCACCTCCAGTGGCCATCAGAGAAAAGGCAGCGTTTGCGTGAAAATGCCTGCATATAATGATTATACTCACGAAAGCAACTACATTAAGCTGTAGTTGTTCTGGTGACTATAGTGTCCCTTTAATTTAACAGAGTCAGAATATGATATATATGCACTAAACCACAACACCATTCTACGGACTATAAACAATTACAGAATTATTCCCACTGTCTAATACTGCAATGGAATTGTCGGGTAATAGGGCTAATGCCACAGGGTAAGAGAGGCAACTAGCGACCACATGCTTTAAGAAATTCCGTTCTTCCATTTTGTCCACACAAATGATACATCTGTTATTGATATCGGCTATCAAGATGTTACCCTGTTGATCAAAAGCCACCCCAGTTGTGTGCACTGGTAAAGGAAGATATAAGCTTAAACCAAAACTGTCAATTTGTCTTATGAGCTTCATCCCATTATTAAATATTTTTATCTGGGTTCTGCTGGGATTTTTGCTGATTTTTGTTACATGTTCAACCACGACAACAGTTCCACTTGTGGGACAAACCGCAACTTCTCTTGGATGATCTAAATGTGAACAAACATTTAAAACCTTCTTGACTTTACCTTGTTTAAAATCAGCAGATACAAGAATAAGATTTCCTGCATCTGGGTCCGAAACTATTACCTCATTTTCTGGGTTGATACCCAAACCCCACGGCAAACAAAAAGGTTGCTTAAGAACCAAGAGACGTTGTCCAGATTGACTGAATACTTTAACGGAGTGATCTCCTGTATCGGCTACGACAATGTATCCATCCAATGTTACAGCCACATCACTTGGGTAAACTATTCCATTAGCTGAATCCGACTTTGTCCCTATTTTTTGAATGCATGTTCCATTCATGGTAAATATGCTAATTCTTTTGGTCCCATCATGAGACACTACTAGATAACCCGTTTTCTTGCAAATTGCTATGCCCGTTGGATTGAAAAGTATGCCCCAACCCCCAAATGACTTGGTAAGGTTAAAGCTTGCTGACTTTAGCTTTTTTACTTGATGACTTGCATTTGCTGATGATCCATGCTCCACATTATCAAGAACCACACGACCAATAAGCTCGATCACATGAAGAATAGGTAAGCAGACACTAGTCTCCAATATTCTACAAGGCTTACGGCAGAAAGGACACTCTAATCTCGGATTCCCAGGAGGACAGAGAGAAGAAACGCATTCCTGGCATATAACATGTCCACAAGGGAGGTTTCTGGGCCTATGCCTCTGCTGCTGGCTGAACTTTTCAAAGCAAACCTTGCATTCTAGCAGGTTAATTTCTGTTTCATTTAAGAAATCTTTCATAGTCCTGATCTCCTTTGAGGCCGGCGATGACATTGCTTCTAGCTGTAATCCTTACCAGCAGTATCAAGCTGGTCACGCTGGTAAGTGTCACGTGACCAAGCAGTGTGATGCAGTCAGCAGTACTATTATAATAGACATTGCATGGCTACATATGTTGTGAAATTCTGCCATCTATTGGAATTGAAGAGGAATGCATCCTACAGTAGAAACATAGAATGTGACGGCAGATAAGAACCATTCGGCCCATCTAGTCTGCCCAATAATTAAAAATACTTTTAATTAGTCCCTGGCCTTATCTTAAATCTAGGATAGCCTTATGCCTATCCCACGCATGCTTAAACTCCCTCACTGTGTTAACCTTTACCACTTCAGCTGGGAGGCTATTCCATGCACCCACTACCCTCGCAGTAAAGTAAAACTTCCTGATATTATTTTTAAACCTTTGCCCCTCTAATTTAATACTATGTCCTCTTGTTGTAAACATAAATTAGCCCTGTATTCAAATTCCTACATTTCTTCAGCAGCTGCATTCACTACATTGGCGGATCCGGGGGGGCAACGGGGCAATTGCCCCCCCGAGAAAATAGTGCTGCCCGAGGCTCTCCCCTGCCGGCCCATGCAGAGCTGGGGCTATCCAAGCACCAGCCCTGCTGTTTGCCATCACGGACAGGATGGGAGATCAGTGATCTCCCTCCCCAGCCCACAGGCAGATTGCTGGGCGGTCGGCAGGGAAGGGAGAGAGAGAACCTGGGGGAGCTTTTACCTGCAGCTCCGCCGGGTTCACTTCTCGCGATCACGGAGCGTTGCCAGAGTTACCATGGCAACCATGGTTAGAGTTCACTCCCCTACTAGAACCACCAGGGAATGGAAGAAAGCAATGTCTCCCCCTCCCTCAGCAAAGGTAAGAAGGGAGGGGGGATATTAGCTATATTTATTTAGTTATTTAATAATTAAAAAAACAAATATCTTTAATCTGTCCCCCTACCCCCTCACACAGTGCACCATACACAACTCCCCCTTACACACACAACCTCCCTATCCCCTCACACAAACTATAACCCCCTACACACTGCACCACACACAGCCCCCCTTACATATACAGCCCCCTTACATACACACACAGCGCCCCTTAAATACACAGCCCCCCTTACATACAGAGCCCCTTACATACACACACACACACACAGCTCCCCCTTACATACACAGCCCCCTTACACACACACAGCCCCCCATATACACACACAGCCATCCTCAAGCACACACAACCCCCAAAGCTACATACATACAGCCCTCTCCAGAGCATACACAGCCCTCCCATACACACACACAGCCCCTCCCTTACATACACAGCCCCTTACACACACACACACACACAGCTCCCCCATACATACACAGCCCCATGTACACAGCCCCTTACATAAGCACACAGCCCCTCATACACACACAGCCTCCCCCATACACACACAGCCCCTCCCATACACACAATCCCCCATACACAGCCCTCCCATACACACACACAGCCCCCCCAACATACACAGCCCCCACTTACATACAGCCCTCCCCAGTATACACACACACAGCCCCCCTCTATATACACAGCCCCCTTTTACACAAACACAGCCCCCATACACACATACACAGCCATCCTCACACATGCCAACCCCCACATACACAGCCCCCTCCTACACACACACACAGCTCCCCCATATACATACAGCTCCCTCCTATACTACACACAGCCCCTCCTTACATACACAGCCCTCATACACACACACACACACACAGCCCCCATACATACACAGCTCTATGTACATACAGCCCTTACATACATATAGCCCCTTTAAGCATACACACAGCCCCCCACACACACACACAGCCCCCTCCCTACACACACACAATCCCTCTTACATACACACAGCCCTCCTTACACACACAGCCCCCTCAACATACACAGCCCCACTTACATACATGTTTCTCCCTCCTTACACACACACAGCCCCCTTATATACACAGCCTCCCTTTTACAGACACAGCCACCTATACACACATACACAGCTCCCTATACACACAACCTCTTTTATATACATAGTCTCATCTCACACACACACAACCCCCATACACACACACACAGCCCCCATACACACATAGCCCTCCTTACACACACAACCTCCCCTTACACACACAGCCCCCCTATCCCCTCACAAACTATAAGCCCCTACACACTGCACCACACACAAATATACAGACCCCTTACACACACAGCCCCCCTTCACACACACAGCTTCCCCTTACACACACAGCCCCCCTTACACACACTGACCCCTTACACACACACTGCCTCTATAAACACACATAGCCCCCAACCACACAGCCCCCAATACACACACAGCCCCCCATACACACACACACAGCGCCACTAACACACAAACACATTGCACCCTTTACACACAAATACACTGCTCCCAATATACAAATTGCTACCCCATACATACACTGCACCCCTCTCACACACGCACCACCCCTCCATACACATACTGCGACCCTCACATACACTGCACCACTCTCACACACACACACTACAGCCCCTATCCTAGCAGACACTGGGTAAGTTATCAAACTTTTTTTAAACGGTTTGACTACTTACTCTGGGAGGGCACCACAGCAAACCCTGGCACCAAAACCAGTACAGAGAGCTTTAGTGGTTATTGTGCCTGGATTGTTTCTTAAAATGATCTGCCAGTGCCCCCCCCGAGATTAGCTTCTGGATCTGCCACTGATTCACTATAATGTCTCCACATCTATAATGTCTCCACATCCAATCTTTTTAGACTCTAGGGCCGATACAACTTACATTTTGCTATTTGCTGGTCTTTCTGGGTCTTATTTTACAGCTCCACCATCTTAAAGTGTCTAACACAGAGTCCCAACTTTTCCTTATGTATAACTTTGCAAATAAATGAGTGACAGCCAGTTTAATATCAAAATATACTTAGAATGAAATTATATGTATATAAATAAATTCTACTTGTATATTTATGTATTATTTTTACATAATTATGTGATTTCAATAATTTTATATTGAGGGACCTATCTGATAATTAGCCCTCTATTTAACTTCCAAAACCCCATAAAACCTGTACATTGTGGTACTGTTGTAGACATCACTGAACACAAATATGAGTGTTTCGGAGTTGCAAATTGAATACTGATGATATCATCTGTGAAAGTGCAGTTTGTGTGTGTGAAAATGGCTCAAAACAAACATGAACACTAATTTTGGCAAGGGTTTGTGAGTAAGTGGCTACTAAAAAAGACAGTACATACCCCATTTTGAATACCCTTGGTAGTCTACTTTTGCAAATATGATATGATATGCCATGACGGTTTCTGGGCTGCCATAAAGTCTTAAAGGCAACATACGCCCAGGAAACCAATCTGGCAAATTTCAGTGTGTAAAAACTGAAATGGACCAGCTCTTTATTTGACCCTCTAACTTTCCAAAACACCACAAAACCTGTACATGGGGGCATCATTGTATATGTAGGAGATCACAGCATACAAATATGTGTTTAATTGTAGTAAACCCTAATAGTATTAGGACATTCACATTTTTTAAATATTTTTGTTGTTATCACAACATAAATGCGGACATCAGACAAGTTATTATTGAGTCAAGTATTCACCTACGCAGAGGCATATATTTCGGTACATGGAAGTATATGCATATATTCACCTGCGCAGAGGCGTGTATATCAGATCACGTGCATAATAATATACTGTCTTCTGTTTCGTTGCGTGCGTTTCGTAGAATATGAACTTATCGTGCTCTATTATAAGCCCATGCAGTAGCCTATCATCTCAATAGTGTTATCCTAACAGAATAATGGATGGCGCCATCAGGTTGTATAACCTATATATTGCAATAATCTATATGACTGCACCCGGGTAGATCCTACAATCATATAAATCCACCATCATTAACTGAAGCCTGCAGATAATCTGATGGCGGCACATGTCAACGAGGTGGTATGTTAAGAGACAGGCATATACTGAGTTAATAAACGTAGATACCTAAATTTCGGCATGGGTCGCCATTCTCAGCAGCTGAATATCCTGTGCATGCTGCGTGGGTTAAAGCCATATATTTATTTAATGCATTAAGTAAAGATAGCATAGTCATGTCTTCGTAAACTATAAATACATCGACTTTTGCCTGGGCAATGGCATGCTATGCTCAACTTCTGGGTATCTATTCTGCGTGCGCTGGCTGCAAAAGTTAGGGCCATACAGTTACATGTTGCGTTATTTAGAGAAAGCTTAAACCTGACACATTTACGTTACGTATAAATAGCAAAGGTAACAGAGCAATAAGACATTCAAGAAATTAGAAATGAGAGCCCTGAGACAGCGCAGAATTTAGCTTTAGCAGGTAGGGCAGCGGCATTCTTATTAGGTTTAGAAAAGGTGTTTAACATAAGCAATAAAAATAGATACAGAAATGAAAAGGCAGACTTTGTATATTGCATTCAGCCCTTCTGATATTGTTACCGGCAGGCAGTATGCAGCTGTGAATTGCCTAGCCTGCGTTTATGTGTAGCTTAGGGTAGCGCTACTTCTTAATCATACTTTATGGGCTTTTAGCTACGCAGTAGTGCAATATTTATTCTCCTCATTGTGGCAGCTGATTTTGGTCCAACCAGTTAACAGCCAGTCACTAGCCTAAAGTGATATTCGCTAAGATAGTAACCAGCTAAGACGAACTGTAGCAGGGCTCGAAGGTACACCTCGCAACGTTTAGTATAACTATAGTGTTTACAACAGTATAACAGCAGGACTGTTCGTAGTGTCAGTCCGATAAGGGCCGCCGAGTCTCTGTTAGTCTCCCCCAGGACCTGAGTCCTCCGCAATGCTGTGGGTACCCGGGGGCAGAAATGATACGCTGGACCCCCACACCTAGGATCCGCGGGTCTCTCGCTCCCTGCACCTCCCCACCACCGCTCCAGACCCAGTGGAGATTGTGTCCCATTGTCTCTCCCGGTGCTGGCCTCACACTTGGGGCCGGTGAACGCCGCTCCCGGCCACCGGTCTGCCGGGAGGGCTGCGCAGACCTACCCCACAGGGCTCTCAGCTTCAGGCACTCACTTTTCCTGCGGGTTGATAGGCATCACGGGGGGTCCATCGGGGTCCCGGCATCACCGGGGTCTGCCCCGCCATCCAGTTCGTCTCCCCTCGGTGAGTTGTCTCCTTTGGTGTCTCTGCACTCCTCTTTCAATGATGCCCTTGAGGAGAAACCATGCCAGTGGTATAGCGCGGCTGCATCGAATCCGCAACCTCCTATGCTTCTGTGTCAGCTTGAGTCTTCTCTGTCCCTGCCAGGATGTTTTCACCGTTTAGGGGATTTCTCCTCAGTGTTAATGTCCAGTACAGCTGGCTGGCCGTCTCTTTGCCATTGCCAGTACAAGTAGTCGGCATTGTGTCCATGCGGGGGCTACCGCTGTGGTACCTGTCTCCACCATGTGTGGCCGGGATATCCCCCGCTGGCCAGGGGGGGAGACGGGGCCGTGCCCGGGGCCAGGGGTCTCCCC